GACATCTTGCATTATTCCCTACTGCATCGTACACAACCTCGATATTCCACTTGTACAGGATCTTTTCCTGTTTGTGTGGATACAGATTGTCCGACAGACTTGCGTCCGGCATACTTGCGTCGAATCCTGACATCTTGCACAATCAAATTCCGATCGCACGTGTCGAAAACCTCATACTTGAATAGTTTCGTTTGGAACGTAAAAACTCATATTTCGTCATATCCCAACAATCGTGGTTGTTTCCATCCAAATTTTGACAGTCGAAAATCGTTGTTGTTGGTAGGAGTTTCTCAAACTTGAACATTGTTGGCGCTATTGCGTGTAGCTCGCCCTTGCCCTAGTTGAAACGGTGGTACTGTGACCAAGTCGTCGTCAGTGTTGCTTGTGGAATTGCCAGTTATCTTGGCACTGCTGCGTGTAGCTCGCCCTTGCCCTAGTTGAAACGGTGGTACTGTGACCGAGTTGTTGTCAGTGTTGCTGGTGGAATTGTCATTTGTGTTGGAGCTACTGCGTGTAGCCCGCCCTTTCCCCAGTTGAACATGCCCTTGCTCTAGTTGAAACGGTGGTACTGTGACTGAGTCGTAGTCAGTGTTGCTTGTAGAATGGTGGCTGATGTTGGTAATGCTTCAACGTTGTGGCCTCTATGGTTACTAATATTCTTGCCTCCATAAAGCAAGACTGAGGACAAGATGCTTTCATCTGAAGTGCTGGAAGCAGAAAGGATTTGGAATTGTTCAGGAGATTTACTGGCCCTTGGGTTTTGGCGACATGAGAAGAACGAATCTGAATCAACACTGACGTTTGTGGTTGAATTCAAAGAAGCGTACGTTGCAGGAACAGTTGGAGACTCGTTTTGCTCATCCCTTTTGCTAGAAGGAGTTTGCACTTTAGGCTATGGCTCTCACTGCCTTTGTTTACAATGGAAGAATTTGATGCTTCTTTGAAATCTTGTCGGATTCCATCTTGTTGATTTCGCTCATCGCTTTCGCTAGAAGGAGTTTGCACTATATGGCTCTCACTGTCTTCGTTTTGAATGAAAGAATTCAATGCTTCTTTGGAATCCTGCCGGATTCCATCTAGACGAGCTAGATTGTAACTGCGGTCAAAACTTTCCCTGAAAAAAAGCTTGGAGATTCTATTCCAAATCTCCTGTTTCTCCAGGTCTCTGTAATCCCAGCCCTTATCGTGGCAATACATCACATAAAACGCATTGAGTAAATTAGAGCTTGCAACTTTGCTTGATTTCTTCTTATTCTTGAAGATAGCAACAATTCGCTTCACTGTCGAAAGTTTATTTTTTTCCAAATTTTACTCAGTCAAAAAATGTTTGACATCCTGGTTTGAAACTATACCATTCTTTTCTTCCACTAGCGCAAGCACAAAGCTGTAAAACTGCAATGGAAGACGTTCTTTGTGATATTCTGCTTCCTCTTTGGTGGTTCAGATGATGTTCAAGATAATAATTTCTGTTTTGACTTTGTTTTGATTTTCCAATTTGAAATTAGCCACTCATGTCCTCAGACGCGCAACTGGCCGGAGTTCTCTGCTTGTGACATAAGAATTTGAGATCAATTGAGATGGTATGTATTATGGTTCATGGCACACGTGCATGACCTCCACATGAAGAAGATTCATTTGGATAACATGTGTGTCATGGAACGGTGTGCGGAGTCACCCATGGACCACTGTGTTTCAAATGAATCATTCAATCAAGGATTCAATCACGCGGTAGTCTGGCATGATTGTGCGAGCAACACCGTGGGTGATGACATTGACATATTCTGTTTTGGGATCTCCTGTTACTTTTTGAACGCGCACAGTGATGGTCCATGTTCTAAATAATATTTAATCGGTATAAGTATACAATACCGATTCCAGAAAGTTTTATGTTGTCCGCACTTTCTACGAGTCGCGCCGTAAGAAAACCACGCAAAATTTGTGGCCCGTGTAGACTAACTACGGGGCGAAAACCGTTTGGTCTTGGGAAATTAATTCCCGGAAATGTAGTGTTAGCGGTTATAGACGGTGTAACATTTAGAAAAAGGGCCTTCGTATAACTATGATAACTGTGTTGCTATGTCTGTCTGTCTCCACGAGTGAATGCCATGGAATTTTCACAAGTCCAGAGAAAAATTACACGGACAAAATCCATATCCATCACTTAATTAAAAAGACCATCTGGTTTTCAACAGCATTTTTGACACGATTGGGTCCATCAATTATTAAAAAAATTGCACGGACAAAAACCATCTCCATCATTTTTGACAGCAGAGACGAAAACCATCTGGTTTTCTTGACACGATTGGTCTTGTGCCGTAAACCGTCTCCGTCAAAAATGACGGCATAAAAAAATTTCCGAGTCAAAAACCATCTGGTTTTCTTTCCAGACTTTTTACATGTAATTAAAAGGTCAGCCACAGCTGTTTGTGAAACTTCCTTTCTTTCAACCAGACTGAGTCTTCCAGTGCCCCTGTGGTCCGTTGACTCTTGTATCTCAGTAGAGATCGCCTGACCAATCATGGTAAAGAAGAAGTGCAGAAGAAGTAAGAGTGGAACAAATTGTGCACCAATCATGGTGAAGCACAATCGTTCTTCCAAAGCATGTGGACCCCACCAGAATGCTCGCAGATTTGTGGCTGGCACGCAATCAAAGTGTTCCCGTTTGAATGTTGGGACAAAAAGTGTGAAGCAAATCTTTGTCAAGCCTTGTGATAAGGAACATTGGCTGTTAGATTTGAATCAAAATGTCTTTTGCATGGAAGTTGATTGGGCCAGTGGCGTTGCCCCAAAGCGTTCACCTCCAGAACATGCCAAAAATATTAAGATTGCTTTTGGGAAAAAGGAAGCCTTAAAGTATTGGATCCTGACCATGAAACCAATTCCATTGCTGTGTTTGGAAAACCCAATGGCAATCAAGGGCTCACGGACTTTCTGTTTTACAAGGCTTCTGACCGACAGAGAGGCGAACTAAAGGAGCAATGGAAGGATGTTCGAAATCTGATGCCCAAAGCTATGAAACAGAAGCCTGATGTTGCACGGGGCAAACAATCAGCTGCTTTGTACCAGCGGTGCATCTGTTTTGGTTATCGTAAGGATCCAAAAGGATCAGACATTGGAGAATATGCATACCAAAAGCATGGAAAAAAAGACAATGAGTCTGGTGACAGGGGGATTTCTGATAAGTTTTGGCAATTGAGTGAAAGCCTAGAGGGAATATCTAATCGATTTGGGAAGCATTTGTTTGAAGCTAAGTGGATGGATGATCTGCGACAGAGAGTGCTGTTGCCATCATTTGCTGGCGGTAAAGCCAAAGCAACGCAGTTTTCTGTTGGCATTAGATATTGGTCAGTCGCACACACTGATGATGATTATTACTTTACAACCTTGTCATGTCTATCCAAGAATGAAGCTGATCATGATAAAGTGTTGTACTATTTCATTTTTCCCTCTTACAAGGTGGCAGTGCCAATGAAATTGGGAGACATTATATTCTTCAACCCATTGGAGCTGCACTGTTGTTCTAATCCAAGCTTACCAGATGCTATGATATTCAGTTTGTATGTTTCTGCCAAGACTTTCAATGCTCGATTTGCTTCATATGCAAAAAGTACTTAAAAGGTAATTGTAGTTGTAATATTGTTTGTTTGAGTGTTGTGCAGTTTCAAGTTGTTCAATTCTGTCTATCACCTGGAGAAGCAACCAATGGTCAGAGAAGAAAGAAGACCTGGCTCACTTTCATGACCGGGCTTGCTCTGCTTTGAGCAGCCACAAAAAAAACACACACACACACATCACAGCTACTTCTTCTAGCTATCCCGTTGCTCTCAGCATTATTCAATTCCACAACAACAGTTTTGTACAAACACCGCCCAGTAGCAACATTTCCATTCTCCTCAGGGACTGGTTCCTCCATTCACTTCCACACAGTTTGGCTTTTTACACATCTGCTTCTCATACTTTCATCGAGCAAAGTGACAAACATTGTGTAGCTACGAAAGCTGGACCGTGAAGTACCTATTCTTTGCCTTATGCTAGGTTGGAGTCTTGCTGCAGTGAAGTACAAAAATGGCAGGATCATCTTCAAGTGGGAAATCTGATGCTGGGAGGGATGTCCATGTAACAAAAAGGAAACAAGCTGAAGTAAATGAAAGTGATATTCGACTGTCCCAATGTCAAGAACATCTTGGGGATGCTGGTAAGTTGACCAATATGGCAGAATAGTAGCCAGACAAAAATCCATTACAAGAATCTTATCAATCATTGTTCTTACAGCAGCAAAATCACCAGATAAGGATATACTATTGGCAACGTCAGATGTTAGTAAAAAAGGAAA